TCGATATCTATGATATAAAATATATATTTATATGAATTATTTTAAATATATTTTTATTTTTTTTTTACTTTTACCCTCGAATTCACGATATCCATCATAAAAAATATATATTTATATGAATTATTTTAAATATATTTGTATTATTTTACTTATAATACATGTATGTATCTACCTCAGCGCCCTCGAATTTCATCAAAAGACTTTCTACCAGTAACCTGCATAAGTAACTCCAACTACAGTTTACCCTCACAAACCGAAATGTAGCTCTTCAATTCAATTTCATTGCAGCACAGCTCTTACTCTTACATTGTTAACAATGTTATTCTGTTCTATTATTTTCTTGCAGCTGGCAAATCGAAAACATGCAAAATTAAATTGCAGCTGCAAAAATGTGAACAGTCATTGGGGCGAGGGAAGAAGTCGAGCAATAGCAAAACGAAACGAATACAAACTATATAACCATACAATAATACATAAAAATAATAGTAAAATAATAATAAGGAGAATAACAAGAAGAAGCAGAAAAACGACGGACAGTGTAGTCTCCGTCAGTGAAATGCGATGCCCGGCAGACGCCACAGACGGCAAATGCAATAGAATGGGAAGCAATCAAAAAGAAAATAACATAAAGTGAATAGAATAGTTAAACAATTGCTACAGCAAACAATGCAAACTAATAAAGCACCTAAAAGGATTCAAATTGCAGTTGAGCGCAACGGCAAAGGGCAAATAAAACAGCAGCAACAATCGAACGTGCCACGGGGCGTATGATTGATACGAGAAAGCAACAACAACAACAACAAAATAAAAAACAAAACAAAATTACTGTAACTAAATGCTAAACGCCATGGAACGTGAAATGTGCCGAAGGCGTGATCTTATTGCTAATAAATGCATTAAATATGCCAAAGCAATACCAACAGCAACGGCAGCAATTGCTGCAGCGAATGCGACAACAGCAACAACAACGCCGCTAACGGCCAATGGAGCAACCACCACTGTGGTGCTCAGCAGCTCAGCCACGAAACCATTAACGGACATGCAACGAAACCACCTGCTAAAGATGCCAACTACAACAGCAACAGCAACAACAACAACAGCAACAGCAACAACGACAGCAAACAAAACACTCGAATTACCAACAGCAGCAACAACAACAACAACAACAACTGCAACAAAAAGCCTTGGCAGGACATTAAGAACATTGGCACACAGCTGGCCACAGTCTGGACTCCTGTTGACGCTCTGCCTGAGCCTCAGTCTGGTGTGCAGCAGCCAAGCGGGCTTCGCTTGCCTCAGCAATCCGTGTGTATTCGGCGTCTGCATCGATGGCCTGAACAGGTGAGTCAAATGCGTTCCATATGCCACCTCAACTAAGTACGAGGCTTGGAGCTAACTGCAGCCATTGCTTATTATCGCCAAGCCAATAAACTCCGTTCAACACATTTCGAGTGGGCAATAAACTTGCACCACTTGAGAGCAACGGCAGCAGCTCGACCGTTGCCATCAATATCCCAGGCCCAGTGCCGGCACAAACATGTTGATGCCGCCACTTTGCAGGCAAATGAATTTGCCACACAGTTAGCCCGCCGCAAACTCTTCCTAACTGACCAACCCCCCAGTACCTCACCACCTCTACCCTATCTTGGCGCTTTTTATGCATGTGCCCTCTTTTTCACAAATGAGGCCAAGCTGTGGTCGCCCCGAGTGCCCACTTCAGCGGGTCGGCCGGCCATTGAGGAGTGAGTGGTTTCAATTGCATAAGCTGCGCATTATTAACTTACGAGTGTGTCCGATGCACATCCTAAGCCTCACTAAATTATGCAACTAATGCGGTTTAGCCCCACGAGCTCGTAGAGCGCCGCACATTAGACTCAAGTTGTGGAAAAACTCTTGAAGTAGGTGTATTGAAGTGCTAATGATTAGAATAAAAAACTAAATCAATTATGTGTGGGAGGATGTGTAAAAGTGAGGTGAAGGGTAATTGGGAATATGTATAACAAGATTAAAGGAAAGATGGGAAGAAATGCTATATACAAATAAAATAATAAATAGAAAATAATAAAAAAATATATATATAAGTTATATGTATATATGTATATATAAATCAATCATTGAATTTTAAAGAATTTATAGTCTTCAAAATAATAGTTTTAGAAACGAAATATATTTCAAGACATTCATTATATACTCAATTGAATAATTAATAGATTCTTAGTAGATTTCATGTATAAGTAAAAAAATAAAAATAAATTTAAAAAGAAAACAAAGAACGTGAATGAATTAAAAATCAAAATTCAAATTCAAATATATATAATTTAATATTTAATAGATTAATTGAAGATTTCAGATATTAATAAAAAAATAAATAAATAAAAATAAATAAATAAAAATAATAAATTAAAAGAACAATGAAATATAAAATAAGACGACTCAATAAGACATATTAAATGAGCAGTTTAACCACGTCCACAAC